CGTATAAAGCCCGCCCTGACAATTTGATTGGATCGCCTGACAGTGGGCTTTAATACTCGCGCTACTATGGAGCAGAGCCAGACCGAACTTCCCCGAACACAAACCTTGTGGGCGGGACTAAGTTCGGACTGGCACCCAGGCTATGTTAAAGCATAATTCAGCATGAATGTTCCTGCCGAGGTCTGAGCGCCAAAGGCTATACTTTCTTATCAATAAATTCTTCTATTATCTTTTCTCTCTGTGTGAGTTTTTCAGATTGAAATTGGAGTTGAGTAGATTATATGGTTAGTTGTAGAAGAAGTTCTGTAGAGGCCAAAACTAGCATGCTCCCTAACACAGGTTGATAACTTCCAGCACCTCTGCAGTGCTTTGTTTAGCCCTCTGCTGAAAGTCTCACGATTCACAGATAGATCTGACTGTTTATGCATGCTATCCACAGAACATATTTTTCTTCTAAGAATTTTTTACATCTCAAATGCTAATTAATTTGTTAAGAACCCATACAACAAATTCATGCTGTCAGATTGACCTGTTAGTCTTTAGGGAAAGGGTAGTCACTGGGTGGAAAGAATATCTGTTTTTTTATGTTTTTTATCCATTGGTTATCATTTAGCTACAATCATAATAACAATCAGAATTTTTTTTTTTAGATTGTATATTTACTAAGTTAAAAAGGGCAGTTTGATCATCCTTGGACCAAAGTGAGCAAACAGAAGTTCTGTGTTAGTTGGAGTATGTTTAATATCCACATCCCCTGCATTCACAGAAAGTGATGTTTTCCAATTTTGGAACTCCTTGCAATGTTTGTTTGTTTTAGTAGGCTAACTGTATCATTCAATTTTCTGAAAGCTCGTAGGAGGCGATACAAAACAGACAAGCAACAAAATCCCACCATGCACGACCACATAACACAGAGGAACGGTGCTGTGTGTTTAATAAAGTCTGTCGTTTGGTCTTTCTATGTAGTGTGGTCGTCCACAGCAGCTGCTGATGTCCTCCATCAAACAACACAGGCTAATGTTTGGGTTCCCATTATCTATCTGTAACATTCCTTTTGCAGAACACAGAGCCAAGTTGTTATGGTAAAATGCTTTGGTTTCTAAGAATGGCAGGATAAGTCTTGGTTAAAAATTAGATGATACAATAAG